GAATAAATACAACAACTACGACGACTCAGTACCAAACAAGTTGATGACAAAAGGCATTTCCATGATTAAGCTGCCCCAAAAGCAAGGCTCACCTGTCTACGGTAAGGGAAGTCTTCATCTGGCAACTTTTGCATATCAGCCAAACTCTGAAGTGTTCCCTTCAGAAGGTGAGAAGAATAGTGACCTAAAAAGAAATCAACAAAGAGAACCACTTCACTTGACATCCCTTGGTTTATATATAGAAAGAAAGCAACACAGAAAAGCATATCTAGCTCACTGTATCACCAATTGCATCCAATGATTGGGATACAATATTCAAGATAAAGAGTACATATGTGTGCAGACACACACCCATACTTGGGAATGGGGTGGATTAGGTCAGAAGCAGCTGACAGTGTTCATCACTTACTATTGGCATAGTCAGTAGTAGCAGTAAAAAAAGGACAGCCCGGTGCACCAAGCTCCCGCTATGCACGGGGTCTGGGGAAGGACCGGACCGCAAGGGTCTATTGTACGCAGCCTTACCCTACATTTCTACAAGAGGCTGCTTCCACGGCTCGAACCCGTGACCTGCTGATTACATGGCATCAACTTTACCAATTACATAGTAAGTAGTAGCAGTGATGCAGCTAAAATTAAAAAATGGGGTTCAATCAAATTATACCGTGCAAGTAGGGTAAATACAATTTCTTTGTCTATATATAAATTGTTGAATCGACTTAACATAAGAGAAGCTTCTAGATATGGCTTTTTTTTTAAATCCCCTTGTTACAACTCCTGGCTGCACCACTAATCAGTTGTAAAATACTAGGAAAGCAAGAAGCAATAATAAAGTACTCAATTTTATCAAATTGAACTTCATTTTAGGAAGTCCAATTCCATGGAAATTGATTTGAATAAGTGTCAGATACTGTGTAGACAGAATATTTTAGATCATTCAACAACTAGAAATTAAATATCGAGATTTACAACTTAAGATGGCTATATTTTTTTTAAAGAAGATAATAAGCAGTGCAACCACCTAGCTTGTCAAACATGGCAACCACTACTTGAAATGACATGTCCCAGACTGCTGCATAGTGATAGGTAATTAAGCTCTCAATTGTGGCACAGATTTTTTCAATGATAGTTGGTCCAGATTTCCTCATATCAGTATTAGAACTAATTATGTCATCCACACCCTGTTTGATCAAGTTTTCATCAATGCATTCATGTATTAAGCTCTTGAGTGCCTCCAGTGCAGCCCTTATTGCTTCCTCGTGCTCAGAACCCAGAACATCTGAGGACCATAAATAACAAAAAGTAATAGTCAAACAATAACTATCAAAATCAGAACAGAATTTATAGGTGCAGTTGAAAGCCTTCTTTTTGCGGTATGAAACAGATTGATTCTTAGTGTAATCCATGCAAGGTAAGGAAATAGGAAAGAGACCTACCACTAAGAGAGTTGAACACCATAGGGAGCTTAACCACACATAATTGCCTGTTAATCGAATATACTCTTCTCATCCCAATGCCAAGCAAGTGAGCTGTGAATGTCAGAGTATCAGCAGATGACTCATTCGCAGAAACTGAAGTAGCTAATGAACCCAAGAGGTCCAGAAGCACTTCTGCGGATACTTCTGCTGTCGGATGGATACAAAGAGCACTCAAACCATCTGTAATGCGCCTATTAACAAGAGGCTGATGCAACTCCAGTAGAGACTTGAAGTACTTCAAAGTACTATTCGAATACTTTGAAGACATATAAGGAAGACAAAGTTTCAGAGCATCCAGCACGTGTAAGACTTGTTGTGCTCCTTTGGGTCTTTCAGAGGCATTTCCAGTTGTTCCTCCTGCAAGTAGAAGGGACCTCTCGAAGAGATTTGTGATGGCTTCACTTGCAGGTGCAAATAGAGGAGCAAGCATAGGTGATGCCTGAAAGTTTTGCAAGACATCACAAATGCAACTATGCGACATCTTTCTCACCTGTTCCATCGATCAATCCAAACAAGAAGAAAATTCAATGTCAGTGTACTTGACCATCCTAACTTTTGAGTTGAAGCATTATGTAAATGCAAAGAAACATTACAAGTAAACAGATATCAAATTTTTATACTATAGTTTCCCTGTTCTCTAATTTCTGCTTCCATGGGGAATTGAGATCCATGTATCTTATAAATTTTTCGTTGAACTGCTTTAATTGTTGTATTTTCTCATTCTTTGTTTTCTCATCAAACGCAACTTGATAACAAAATAATCTCAAATCAAAAATAGTAACTTCTCCTTGTAGTATTATAAAATCTAAAAAAGTATCAGAATTGCTGGGCATGGCTGTACGCCAATAACCTTTTGAAATAAACATAACATTACCTTAACTATCAACTCACAAAAATATCATTCTGCTCATACACAAATCTTTTATGACACAATCATTATAACTTTGTTACCACCATGACGTGTTGAAATCGAAAAAGTTATCAAACTGTAGATCATGTAAACATGCATCCTACTTATCATATCACTACACGGGAAAATTCTAAGCTTGTGAAAGCACAGTCTATTACTTAGTTGATAAAGCTATCTTGTTCTTCAAAAACCTTCTTTTACTATGGTGCTAACGCAGGATAAAAGAACCTGGCTCAACCTTTGCTCTAACAAGAAACATGGACTGAATAATATAACGATCGCCATTCAAGAGAATAAACATGAAAACCCATTCCTTAAGTAGCCCCTTCCCACATCATGAAAATACTGTTCCCCATAAGATTATCTCAAGTCACCTTTCCGACATGAGTTTAACTTATATGCACTGACAATGTAAATAGTGTATTTTCGCCAATTATAAAAGATTGATTTTCATTTCTTAAGACTGGTGTTGTCAAGGGCTCATATAAGGCGCAATTGAGCCCTTAGCGCTTCCCGTGGCTTAAGCCCCACTTCAGTGTAGGCAAGCACTAAGGCATGAGCCTCATTGCCCACGAGTTCTATCTTGAATCGAGATGTACTAAACAACAAATATAATAAGCAAATAACACATTAGTTGTTGAGGGAAACATTGTGAATGAATTTGTTTCTTTTTTCTTGAATTACATAAAATATACATATATATTTATTTTTTCTCCTTCATTGCACCTTTTTTTTAATAAAGCTTGTGTTTCTTAGACCTGGAGTGCTGGAGCTTTGGACCTTTGACAACACTGCTTAAAATTACCAATCAATGTTTGTATAGAGAATTACCTGCAGCGTCAGTACACACAACTTATGCTCTTCCAACATTTGCAATTTCCATATTGTTAAAGAAGCACTTGATAGATTAACCAAAAGAAAGGCATGCACTAGGCCAAAAGAACAAAAATAATCTAACTTCTTATTAAAATTGTTAAAAGAGAGAAGGAAAGTAGCGACCTTTTGGCGATCATCCGTTAAATAACAAATAAACACACCATAGAGTTGAGCAACATCCGACCAGTTCCCTTTGGATCCCACAATTAGCAAGTGCATAACACACTTTAAGCACCCAATGATCCCTTCGATACCAATGGTCTTTAATCCAAGCAATTGAGTCATAAGGTTAGACAAATACTCGTATTTCTGCTTCAAAATGGCTTTGTTTATTCTAGGAAGGACGAGGGATAAAATCGTGGAAAGTGCATCGATTAGGTGTGATGGAGGCCCTTCAGGGGAGGAGGTATATAGGCATTGGAGCGAGGAACACGTGGCGCCGAAGTAAGTGATTGGGGTAAGAGGAAGGTTCTGGTCTTTGAGCTCCTGTGACATTGTACCAATGGCGGTGCAGATGTGGACGTGGTGTTCGTTGTTGGGTGAGCTAAATTGTGATAGTACCGTGTTGCAGAAGTCATCTGAGGACACGTCAGCATTTTCCGGTAGATGAAATTCCATCTCGACGCCTTCCATGTTTGTGAGAAACCTCTGAATGCGGCGGCGGATACAAACACCCTCTGCAGAACTCAACAATAAGTTTATATTAGTCAAAACTGATTCTTAAATGCAAATTAGCAGAGCTATTAATAGAAGCAAATACAGCAGGTTAATCCAATTCACAATTTTTTTTGATTTAGCAGTAAACTTCACTGCAAAAAGGAATAGGCTTTTGGTCTAACTAGAGATGAGAAAGCATGAGAGAGACAAAGAGAGTACCTTTTGATTTCGTCTGCAAGGAGAAGAGAGGTGTTTGTTGCAGAAAGAGGTAGAGGAGAGGAGCAGGGTAAGCGGAGGAGGGTTTTTGGCAAGATTTTAGGCGCAAAATTGAATTTGGGCTTTATTTGTTTGTTTATCGCCCACACTGCTTACAAGGAAATTGGACCTGGGCTAAGGTTCAAATTCAAAATGGACCCGAAGTATAGGAATTACACCATGTAACCACTTGTAACCAAAAATTGCATAATATGATACTTTTTGAGGCGATCTCTATCTTTTGATCCCCGTTTGCTCCATGGACAGAGCTTTAAGGTTAGAAGTTAAAAATGTTTTTCCTGGGACAAGCGAAATGCAACACTTGTTAAATTTGAAGTTCTGGCCATGAGACAGAAAGGGATAAAAATTCAAGACTATTCACTTTGGATATTATTTGTGTACTTCACCGGCTCGTAACACTCCAATTATAAATACATATCATTTTTAAACATTATTTAAATTTTAGCTCTAGGCTTTCAGCTTTGCCAAATCTTAACTTCAAACTTCGTGTCCAAAGTTTGAACCAAAGATGTGGAGTTATGTTTTGACATAGCCTAATGTAGACATGTAATTTTTGACCCTCCCCAAGATTTTTTATATTTTAGCACGTAAATATTTAATTTAGGTATAATATCGCTATTTCAACTAATTTTGACTCTTTTACTTTATTTTATTACCAAAAAAATGAAAATTACAAAAAAATAGCTTCATTAATGTTTTTTTAGTCATGTTGAATCTTGAAAAATACCAAAAATAGTTTTGTGTTAACGGTCAGTCTTATTTTAATAGTTATTTTACTTAAGTAGGACAAATTAATAAATGAGATCATATTTTAGTCTCGTTCGCGGGGAAAGAATAAAACTTGGGCTCGAGCAACCCATTTTTAGGCCTAATTTTTGGACCTAGCCCATAATTCCCAAACTCATAATTCTTAGGCTCATACCCCTTAACTTAAAAAATACTGCAAAACATAGATCCCTATCTTCTATAAAAGCCAACCTAAAAACGCCTAAAAACCCATCAGATCCGTCGTTTCTTTAGCAAAAAATACAAGACAAAAAAAAAAGAGCTGACCTAAAAGGACCTAGAGAAAAAAGCTGACAAACGCCATTTTTTAACCAAAGAGCCCTCCCTTATCGTTTGGATCTTCTTCTTCGGAGAAGAAAGCCAAAATTTCATGGCTTCTTCCTAATCAAAAAGGACCAAGGAGCTAGACACTTGAAGCACCAGCAAATTCACCGTTGTAACACCGGAAAACACATACCCCTCCACGATTCTGTTTCTTCTTCAACCAAAACGAACAACCAGCCTATCCCTGACCCCTCCACAACTGCCATAGCATTCCTTTCTCTTCAAGGAACAAACCATCCACCATTTTCATAAGAGACCACCATGAACAGCCACGCACAGCAGTAGCCAATCTCCTCCCCTCTATTATGTAACGAAAACACGACACTCATCTCCCTCTCGCCGAAAAACACTTACACATAGTCACACACACACACAGAACGGGAAAAGGGACAGCAGCAAACTTGTTGAGTTTTTGTGAGCATGAGAGGCACGTGAATCTGGTTTCAAGCTTCGCTTGGTTTATTACAGATATCGTTCATTCAATTTGTTTTGAAATCGCGATTGAGGTACTATCGGAGGCGAGGTTGTTCGTCGAGGTCTTTGTACGTGGTTCGCGAGATTTAAACGATTTGTTATTATACATTTGAGGTCTAATTCTTGCTTTGTTCCTCTAATCTCTTTTATCGTGCTGCCTATCTTATAAATGGCTTGAATATTGAAAGTAAATGTGTTATCTTTGTTGGTTGCCCAAAGTAGTTTGATGTCATGAATATGATATTTTAGTAGTTTGGATATTATTGTTGATAAAGTCTATATAAAAAAGAAATTAGTAATAGTGCAAAATAGGATGAATGCGTCATGGGATTTGGGTCGAACGGAATTAAAGGTCTTCTGGCCTTAAAATAGTTCTCGTTATTTTACTTCTTATTTATTATTTAATCGCTAAGAGTATGTTCAAGGCGACTACACCGTTAGAGTGCTTTAGGCGCGATTAATAACAAATCATCGTGACTATGGGTACGGTTCCCGTGGCATGGTTACGATACGTGAATCTCAATTCGGGGGTGCATTTCATGTAACCCGATTATAACAACTTCGAATAATAGAACCCTTTGGAATAATTTGAGGCGTGCGTGCCATGCCAAATAAAACCCCTAAGCCCATGACCCTCATATAATTAATACTAACTCTTTGAAAATCGAGGTGTGCCATCAATTAAATTTTCCATGGCCCTCGCAAACCTTGTTATTAATTTAGAATTTCGTAGTTGCTTTAGGCGCGCTATTTAAATTGATTTTCTTTTATTAAATTTGGGTGTACATTTCATGTGACCTAATTTCAATTCTTAACAACGTTAAATAGAATGTGTCGCGAACTGCGGGTGCATTTCATGTGGCGTGGTTCAAGGCATATTTTAAATAACGTTGAATCTTCCTAAAAAAAGTTAAAAGCGGTTAATAAATTAAAAATGCACATAGGTTTAAAAGTGTTTTAAAATCAGATAATTAGGCCAATAATAATAGTTGAGCGACCGTGCTAGAACCACGAAACTCGGGAATGCCTAACACCTTCTCCCGAGTTAACAGAATTTCTTATCTGGATTTCTGTGTTCGCGGACTATAAAATAGAATCAATCTTTCATCGATTCGGGATTTAAACCAGTGACTTGGGACACCATAAATTATCCCAAGTGGCGACTCTGAATTTTAAGTTAAATAATTCTGTTTCGATTGTCACTTAAATTGAAAAAAACTCCCTTATCCCCTTTCGGGGTAGGAAAAAGGAGGTATGACACCTAATTTGATACTTATATGTCTAAATTTAGAAACTCCAAACTCCTAATTTCTAACTTTAGACTCGCATGTTTGAAGTTGATTTTAAAAAGGTTAAATATTAATTTTTTTTTATAAATTTCGAATTCTCTTTAATGGGGGTCTTAAAAATAGCTATTTATACACTTCGCATATATTGAACATGCTTATCCTTATAACTTTTATAGAAAATATTTGAAGTAAACTTAAACATTAAAATGTCAAAACCATACCCTTTAATTATACAATCCATTATATTATATTATGTATTAGAGTTGTAATAGTTTAATACTGGTTGCAAAATCAGTCCTACAAAGTGCAATGCAAATCCTTTTAGTAGGGACATGTATTATTTGATTATAACTTCAAGTCTTTTGAAAAGTGTTTAACCGAAAAATAGATTTTTGGTCAAAGCTTATATTTAGAAAAAAAGGGGTTACTGATAACCAAGTTTTACTCCACTTTTACGATCAGCTATTTGCAAAATAGTGAAAATTATAGAGAGAATTAACAAAGAGAAATAAGGAATAATTCAATAATCAATCCCTAAAATCAAGGTTGTGAAGCAAAAAATTGTCGAATGTATTTTAGTAGTACTTGGAACTTGTCCTTACAGATAAAATTTTGTATCCTTATATAGGAGTGTACAATCATAACGGTTTTCTTACATAATGGGCATTAATTGTATTGATTACCCATAACCGTAACTGGCATATTTTATTGATATAAATGCTTTATAACTGCTTTGATTCCCCTTCCTTATTTACTTCTGGTTCATGTATCTTACCTTCTTTTTTATCCTTATTCATTTCGTGCTCGCCTCTTAATTGACAACTGTGAGGTCCGATTTTCTTCTTTGTACTGTCTCGTGGATGTTTCTCCCATACCTTTCTTGTATTCTTAATTCTATTAATTGAGAATGTCATTTGTCGTTATATCATTGCTCCATGCGTCATGTAATGTCCGCATACTAACATATCACGTGTAATAACTTTTTACACCAATATAGATAATTTCCCCCACTTTCTGAATATTCTCACCTGAATATTCGGGAAGTGGTAAACTTTTATGGCGGGAATTCTCTGTTGCCATTTTTCGAGTGTTATCATGTCTCCTTCAGAATCAATGCGATGCACATCACATCTATTTAACACCCACGCCACATGGCTTCTAACGATTTGCTCTGCAGTTTTTCAATGCTTTTTAGGGGTTTTCTGCAGTTGCATCAGTCATGAAGTGACGGTTCCATTATGACACTTCATAATGACCAACTTTAACAATGATCGAGTCTCCTTATAAATACTCCATTCTTTTTTGATTTCTTAGAGTCTTCTTTCCTCAGTATCCATCATCTTATCCCTTCTTTGCATTTTCTGCATCCTTTCTTCTGTATTTCTTTAGACAATCATGTCTTCATCAGACCCTCACAAGGTTGTAATTGTTGACGAGTTTGTTCCCTCTAATGCTCATACTAGAAGTAGGAGGGGTGGTAGGCTCCGTAGTCTTGGTTCAATTTCTAACTGTGGTTCTTCTTCCCAGAATAGTGTTGCTAAGCCATCTTCTTTTGAGCCTAGAGCCCTTTAACCCCTAGATCTTCTTCTAAGAATAGAGATTTAGCTGATCCTGTACGCGAACCTAAAGTTGCAGAGATCGTTCCTCAAGAATTTTCTTTCATTAGTGATCGTGAAACCAAAAGAAATCAAGTTTCTTCTATGGCCTCCCTCAATCCTGATGAACTTTATCCGAGTTTGATCACTACTGGTCTTCTTTCCCTGGTTCGAAGAGAATGTTACTGGAAACAAGATTTCCCAGTTTAGTTCCTGGTGCCAACCAGAGAATTACTTCCTATCATGCTGGTTTTTCTTTTGTTTATACCTACCCCTTCACTTTAGGGTTTCAAACCTCCTATTGATCCAGTAATCATTAAATTCTGCCGTTATTTCAATGTATATCTTGGCTAGATTGGCCCCATAGTACGGAGGGTTGTTGCATGCCTTCATTATTTAGCAAATCTGGTTTCCATGCCTTTCACTTTTTGGCACTTGCTTCACCTGTACTCCCCCAAACTATTTTGTGAATGTTTTTACCCTCGTGGCTAGAAGTAAGAGAGTTTTGGTTAGCCCTAAAGAGGATCGGGGCCGTGGCTGGTATGCTCATTTTGTTGTTGCTC